GACTTCTGAAGTTCCACAACTTCTATGAGCAATGATAATCTTTCTAGGGGCCAATGAAAAACGTGTTTAATTACATGACATATAACAGGACATTTTTTGGTTAGCACCAACCATAAATTTCCATGCTTAAGCAGACCCCTCTTGCAAGGCTGCCAGCTGCTCTACTTGGTCTCCCATTCCCTTTGCATTTTCCATTTAAACTGTAAGGGTCCCTTTTGCAGATGCACGGGTGGAAGGGAAGCTCGCTGAGCTCTCATGTCCCTCCAGCAAGCAGGATGACTTTTGCCACCATAATCTCCAAGTAAATTGCATAAAGCTGTTAACATTTTTATAGGTGACTGCATAATGTTATTGCATAAATGTATTTGACAGATTAATGTATTTTACACAACCTCCCTAGAAAACAATATAAGCAGTATCAATAAATGAAAAGCAATGTACTTCATTATGTTTTATAATTTATAATTTATATTTATATTAAAATCTGTGACCCATCATAGCATTGGAGACAAATAAACTGATTTTTGAGCAGTGGGCAGGTTGAAACAAGTTTCTAAAATTTTCTTGTTGGCATCTCACTGATGTGGGAAGGACAACACAAGAACCTCACCTCTTGCAGGTAATGTCTTAAAATTGTACACTTCATGAAACTGCACACTTCTTTGCAAGAAGTTAGGCTAACAGTAATTGCCATTTTTATTCTGATGAACAAGTGCCTATTTTATAATGCTGACAAAAGTCTCTTTGCTCTACCAATGAAATATGCATTAAAAAAAAATCAACCAGCATAATGTCAATGAATTAACAACCAATACATAAAGAAATCATACTTGACTAGTTTAGTCAGTTTTAGTTTTTAGCCTGATTCTGAACTCACAGAAGTTTTGTACTGATATAACCAGAGGTTACAAAGGTAACATTCTCAATTTACAAAATCCTTCAGGCTTCCCTTTTTCAAAAGTTAGTTGAAATGCTTCGTTAGCTTGTTTAGAACCACTTTAAATCTCTGAATAACTGCTTAGAAGCCCAGCCTATTCACGCACCTTAATTTAGATGTCAGGTCTTATCAGGCATTTACTTACTTTGCAAAGCCCTACTTTTGTTGGGTCTAGCACTACAAAATACCTTTGTACAGAATGCGTGAGAAGTTCCACTGACTCTACATTGAAACAGTTTCATATTCATCAGTATCTGCAGGATTGACCTATTGGTCCTTACAAATGTGAGTAGAGTTTAGATTTTGAAAATCCTCCATACAGCTAAGCTATTTTATTGATTGAGAATTAAATACCCTCTCTGATATTTTCAATCCACAGACCAAGTACACTGACTATGGAAAACAAACTGACTTAGAAATTACCTTTATAAAAAAGAAACTAGCTTTTTGATTTTACCAGTTCAAGCCGTAAGCAGACAATAAACATGCTGTAAATGTCATTTGTTACTCTAGCAAACATTACTAACTTGAATAAGGCTCTCCTAAAATAATTTGTTTAAATGTAAGGTTAATAAAAATTTTCTGTTGTGTTTCTTTTTCCTAATTTTGGCAGCCTGAGAATATTTCACCAGGAATCTTTGTATGATTTGAACGTAAGAAGTTGCGTATGTTTGGACAGAATATATTTGAGAAGTTTAATGAAAATTGACTATATTGTTTTGGACTCCCAGAATGTCACATCTCAAACCAGCTTTAATTACAGTACAGTTGGTATAAGTTGGTTTTGGTGTATATTGGTGTCTTTAATTAGTTTTAAGATTAATTAGTTATTAAAATTGGCATCCAAGCACATCTGGAGCACAGTAGTGTTTTAAATACTGACTAACCATTTAGTGTGAGTTTCAACTTAATGTTTTAGTGCAGCTTAAATAAAATATCAGCATGCGATCATTGCAAGAATGGTAGTATGTATGCACTAAGGTTTTTGTCCCCAGCACTCTGTCATCTAACTGCTTGTTAGAATGTGCCCTAAATTTTGACCGTCATCAATAAAATTGTTCTGAGCATTATTTTTGGCTTCTTACCCGACTCCAGCCATGTGTCAAGATGACAATAAATCTAACTCCACGGCTCCTATTTCTGCATCAAAAATACCACACCTACATAGCAAAACACTTCCTACAAATTTGTGCTGCTGGTTCAAATGTATTTAAAAACAAATGACAGCAGGCTTGATGCTGGATCAGGTAGTGTCTGTCTGTATGACCTGAAGCTGGGTCACACATTTGTGGAACAAAAGTGACATAAAAGTGACGTGTTTCTCTCCACATCTGACCTAGACCACATCTGTGGTGCAGGGTGACCTGGTGGCACACGTATCTGTTACTGACAGCCAAGGAACTGGGGCTTGACTTGGTCGAACCAGAGTATCCACTTAAGCCGACCATTCTGTGCCGGTTTAAATTCTTGCTGCCGACATTTAGGAGCTAAACTGAGGCCATGGTTCTGTGTTGCTATCCCTCGGCAGCAGGTTCACTTTCCCGAGCATCCCACAGGTCCCATCCCTTTCCCCTTTGGCTGCTGCAACTCGCTGTTTGGGTGCTTGTGCTCTCAGTTAGTTGCGGTCCTAAAACCAACTCACTCAGCAGAAAACATTAGCTCCCCTAAAAATACCTCGTCTGCTTTTTAACATGGCTCAGGTTTGACATCCCGTTTCGAGCTGCGAGCGCCCCGTCAGCGGGCTCGGCACAACCCTGGGATACAGCAGCTTCTTCTGGTGAGGAGCAGGCGGCCGAGGATGGGGTGAGCGGGGAACAACTTAAACTCGACGCGCTGCCAAGGGGAGGGTGACCCTCCCTGACGCCCGGCTGCCTGTTGCCTGCAGTTGCATGTTGAAGCGGGTGA